ACATTAAAAATGTGCACCTGCTTTTCCACATTTCATTTACCCTCTACACCTAAATCTGAAGCAGCCTAGTTGCATTGTGAGCTCCCTGGAAGAAAACACCCCCCATAGCCAAGAGGGATCAGCTCCTATTGTCTAGTCTAAAGAAAACCCTTGAGTCATCAGCTTACCTAGAAACAAATCTAGTGTTCTCCCTTCAACCATTGTAATTTCTCTACAAAAATCCCTACTCACCCTCTAGTCAGGGTTCTGATGCTTAGATCCAAACTATGCATCAGTTCCACTGGAACTCCATCTCCTGACTGATCGTGCTGGGGGCTCTGCCTGTCTCCAGCATTCAGGACCCTCAGCTACCACCATCACCTGGGAAACCCGACCCCAGTTCAAACCTCATGGAGTGGGTGAGATCCCCCCTCTTTCTCTCTGCGTTTTCCTTTCTACCTTAGGTATTAACCTTTAATCATGTATGTTATGGTGGTTTAGCTCTCCTTGTGTAGTTATCACTATTATTCAATAAATAACTTTTATGGTTAAGTTGGTTGCTTCTCTTTCTCTTGCTGAGCTTTACTCTTTTGTGTTTTTAGCTTCCCCCATTCACTCTACAGCAACGCTTCTTTTACCTATGCTAAAGATCCCTGCAGTGCCCAAAATACTGTGGGGTTTGCTCATTGAGTAGGTTACTGCCAGTACAATTGTGTTGGGGGAGTGGGGATAAGGACATGCTGAATTTGGGACACATAAGGGTAACAGCTTGAAAGTGCTGCTTGACCCAGTCCATGGAGCCCAGGGGCATATAAGGAGAGACAGCTTGAAAGTGCTGCTTCCTCCAGCCCAGTGAGTCCAGAGACATATGGGGGGTCAGCTTGACAGTGCTGATTGACCCGGTCTGCTCAGACTTGCTCTGTTAATGTACATGTGGGTATGTGGGTGTTCATCCGGTTCTGGGGCTGGAGGAACCCATCCCTAGGGACCCTAGGTCCTGCAGGATAGCTCCACTGGGAGGGGACTTGCAGCAGGGAGAATTAGAGCTCTGTATGAGAACACACGTGACACAAGCAGCACATTGATAGGATTACAGAATCCCCTTCCCCAGAAGAGTAACCCGAATAAATGAGCATACCCCAAAGTAATGGGCACATCTGGTAACACTGGGGACACCCGCTTCATGGCCACGAGCTGCTGGAGGATCCGACCCGCTGGTTTAATCCCGGATTTCTGTGGCCAAAGCAGACGCTCAGGCACCAGGAGAGTGAGAAAAGGCAACGTACGAGGGGGGAGAGGTGTCTAGGGCACAGGTCTGAGGGGGAGAACAGACCATACACAAGGGAATTCACAGGTGCCATTAAGTAGGGAGGGGCTGGGAACAGAATGAGCCAAAGGGATCTGGAGAGATGAACACCTGGCTGGAAATAGCAGGAGAGTCGACATGGGAAATGCAGCTAATGCAGTGGGGAGAATAACCTGTAGCACAGCTACGGGGGAGCAGGAACAGCTGAGAGCCGGGGGGAGCAGAGAGCACGAGACGTGAGTTTGCAATAGGACAGGGCAGGGAGAAAGGCCAGTGCAGCTGGGAGACCACACAGAGTTATCACAGATAACAATCACTAATAATGTAGAGGATCAGAGCGGCACCCTGTGTAGACAGCTCTCACGTGCCCACTCGGGAACACTGTTTGTATTGTGGAAGTAGAGAAAGCACTGACAGGGATTTCAATGCGAACACTCTCTGTTAGCAAGAGTCAGGCTAACTGTAACCCTAATAACATGAGATTTGTAGAAGCGAGGATTGTGTGAGGCGAGTGGGAAAGAACTGTGTGAGAAGTTGTTGCGACCTTGTGTAGATAAATATGCAATGTAGACTAGAGTCTCAATAGATGTGAAAAATAAGATATCAGGGTGACCTATGTATAAACAAAATGCAGCTGTTGCTCATTATTGTCTGTAACAAAAGGTATAAATGCTTGCTGTAATTGTTTATCTGGAGAGAGACCTGCCTAGGAGGAGGAAACCCTGTGTCCTAGTGCACTCTCTCCCTCTATGCAATTGCTTGAGAATAAAGTATCTGACTTTGCTGCACCCAACCAAAGAGTGAGAACTGTGTTTTTCTCTGACAGTATCTGGACACCCCTTTCCCACAAAGAGATTGCCAGAGAGAAGGGAGCTCAGGGGCTGGGAGTCAGGAGGTTCTGAGTTCTGATCCCAGCTCTGCAACTGATTCGCTGGGTGACCTGGGGACCCTCACTTCACCTCCCTGTCTCCGTTTCACCCTCTGTAAAATGGGGGATAATCAGAGCTGGAGCTGCGAGGGGACAGGGGCACTGGTAGCATTCTCCAAGCTCCACCCACTTCAGAGGCCACTAGGGTGGCCAGGGGCCTGGTTTTCAACCAGAAAGTCTGGTTAAGAAGGGGCCCTGATAGTATCTGGTTGTATCTACTGACCGGACACCCGAAGTCCAGTTACTATGGGTGGGAGCAGCAGGGAGGCACTGAGTCACCACCCGCACCAGCCCCTCCTCAGCCGGGGCTGCCTCATACCTGCATCAGGCTCCCAGCAGGGGCTCCGCCGGTGAGTCCCTCCCCACCCGGGCAGGGGGAGACAGGGGAACAGCAGTGAGCAAACGGGGGGGAAGGGGCAGAGTGGGGGTGGTTCCAGCACTCCTGCTAGAGGGTCCATTTTTTAACTATTACCCTAGAGGATTGAGGGGCTGTTGAAAACAGGGGGTGCTGCTGGGCTCCCAGGGCGTGGCTCCCTGTCAGAGGGGCCAGACATGTCCTGGGGCAGGGCTGGTTTAAGACCCAGGCACCACAGGCGCAGGCCCAAGGCCCTGTCACGGGGTGAAGACAATCCCAACGCTCATTAAAAACACTGCTTCTAGCCCTGTGGGTTGCAAAGAAAACGTGCCCTGAGCGTGAGTGATGCGGTGATGTCTGCCTGAGTCTGCAGACAGCCTCGAGCCTGTGGGTTTGTAGCTAGGCGCGCTGGGTGGAACGAGGAGCGCTTACACCAAAAACCAGGACAAATGTTTGGGAAGAGCTTTGCCCCTCCTGCTCCAGGGCGTGAGCCGACCTCTAACTGGGGGGTGGGGCCTCTCCCTGGGGCAGGTGACCCCGTTGCTCCCTCCCGGGGGTTCCTACGTCTCTGTCTGAAGCTGCTAGTTCGGACCCAGGATCTGGGGCTCCATGGAGCACAGCTCTGGTCCAGCCTGGCGCTGCCTGTTCCTGTGACCAACGTGCTGACGGGGTGTCGCGGAGTGTGTGGGACACAGGCCCCCTTACCCCCGGCTTCCTGCGATTCCCCGTGACTCTCAGCCAGCCAGTAAAGCGGAAGGTTTATTGGATAACAGGAACACAGTCTACAGCAGAGCTTGTCGATACAACCAGGACCCCTCAATCAAGTTCTTTTGGGGAGCGCAGGGAGCTTAGACCCCAGCTTGGGGTTCCCTGCGTTGCACCTCCCAGCCCAAAACTGAAAACTGCCAAATCCCTCCAGCAGCTCTCTCCCCCTCCCCCCTCCTCTCCTTTGTTCTGTCTCCCGGGCAGAAGGAGTTATTTCTCCCACCCCCCCTCCTGGCTCAGGTTACAGCTCAGGTAGCTCCATGTAACTCCCAGGCTCCATTCCCAGGTCAAATCCGCCCTGCTCCCTGCTCCGTCACACGGGGACACCCCCCAGCTGTGGAATCCTCTCTGGGGGGTGGAGGGAGCGGTTAACACTGGGCCACTCACATCGCTGGGGAACCCCCATTGGGAACAATCCTGCCCTGGCCTGGCGATGGGCTGGCTGGGCCCAAGGGGGCTTTGCTGGCACCAAGTGCTACAAGTTTTAAAAAAAATACCCTTAATCCTCCCTCCCCCCCCACTGTGCCTGGGCCTCGTGGACTCCTCTCGTAGGCCCTGGCCCCGGACCTCGGCCCTCCCCCGCTCTGTGCGCCCTGACGGTTCTCAGTTACCCCA